TCCACCAGCCACTGCCACCACTGGTCCAAAATGATGGTTCCTGGAGTCAGTGCCCAGAAATTGACATCAGAGAGGTGTGTTCTGGTGTCTTCTCTTCCGTGGAAAACCATCTCTGCTAACAGGAAGGGAGAAAACCCAGAGGGGAAGGCTGGTGGGACAGGGGGTCTGCTGTTGTTTGGAGGAGCTGTGTTGTTCCACCAGCCACTGCCACCACTGGTCCAAAATGATGGTTCCTGGAGTCAGTGCCCAGAAATTGACATCAGAGAGGTGTGTTCTGGTGTCTTCTCTTCCGTGGAAAACCATCTCTGCTAACAGGAAGGGAGAAAACCCAGAGGGGAAGGCTGGTGGGACAGGGGGTCTGCTGTTGTTTGGAGGAGCTGTGTTGTGATTCTGTCACAAAGCAGCAGCACCTGCACCCCCCCCTGCAGTTTGTGTTCAGGTCTCAGGCTGGATCCACGCCAAGGAGCAGTTGTTAAAATGAAACCTACCTGCATGGGTGCTCAAAAGAGAACTGGGAGGTGTTCCCCGAGAGAGTGAGCTCTTGCCAACCAAGCTCCCCCTGAAATTCACACCTCAGCACAGCAGCCATAGTACCAAGCTGAAAACCCTTCGGAGAACTAAGCATTCACAACCAAAACTATTTAAAAGAAAAACAAACAACAAACACAACTTTTTTTTTTTTTTTCATAGTAGGCAGGCAAAGAAAGATGTGAAAAAGCAAGGGGAATTAGTCATGAACATTATATATTGAAATTGCTAATGTGGCAGGAGTGATTTCTGTCTCCCCTGAGCATCCATTTTGCTGCAGTCAAATGATGCTCTCCAAGTAGAAACAATCATAAATTACTGTCTGAGAGATCGTGGGATTCCCAGGAGCTGTAATTGGAAAACATCAACTTCAGAGGCACCCCAGAGGTGCCTTTTTTATTTTTTATTTTTTCATTAGGAAATGGTAGGGGAAAAGAAGAGCCCCACGATGTGCAAGGATCCAGGAGCCTCTCTCTTGCTGTACCCATGCAGGTTGGAGGCAGTGGAGGGGGACACATGGTGGAATACAGGGAATATTTGAGGAAGAAATTTTTTGTGCTGAGTGTGGTGAGACACTGGCACAGGTTGTCCAGAGAGACGTCCATCCCTGGAGATATTCCAAGGTTGAATGGGGCTCTGAGCAACCTGATCTACTTGCAGATGTCCCTGCTCACTGCAGGGGTTTGGACTAGATGGTCTTCAAAGGTCCCTTCCAACTCCAACCATCCAATGGGTTCTATGATTCTACAACATATTTGCCACGCCAGCTCAAGTGATGACTTCCTGGGGGACGTGGTGGTGGTCCCAGCCCTGGTGTCCATGTGTCAAGGAGTGGTCCCTCAACCCCTATGGGGCTTGCTCCAGCAGCAGCAGATCAAGCAGCATTTAAAACAAGAATAATGCGACTAATAACACGGACAAGCAAAGCAAGGCTTTGCTGGTAAAATACACTGTAAACCTGTCTGGTCTGTCCAGGCATGATCTGGGGATGAAGCAGGGGGAGGAAGGGGGTGACTGGGACCCTGGCTGGGCGGGGAGGGAAGGAGGATCTCTTCCGAACCGCGCGTGTTCTCAAAGCCTATGCGAAAGTATTACTGTTTGCCTAATGAACAAGCACAGATTTTTTTTTAAAAAAACAAAAAACAAGCAAACAAACAAAAAAAAACCAAACAAAAAATATAAAAAGGGAAAAAAATAAAAAAAAACCACACCACACCAAACAAAAACAAACCGAACAAACAAAAAAAACCCCAACCACAACCAACAAACCAACCCTTCTCTTGACGGATCCCCAGGGGTGTGGGAGTGGAAGGGGCCTCGGGGGTGTTCAGGTTCCTTGGTATTCGAAAGGGTTTGTGCCCGTGGGCTGGGACAATAGGGTGAGCTTAAAAAAAAAACAAAGCAAACAGACAACGGACGACGAAAACAACAACAAAATCTCTAGTAACAAAACATTGATAGTTTACAGGGTTTTGTGAGTTTAAATGCCTTATATTTAACAATCATAATTTATGACTAACTTGTAGATATTGTGGGTTCTTATTTAATTATTTTTATAGTTGTTTTTCTTTTTTATTTTTTTTTTTGCATTTTTAATTATGATTTATTTATTTAGAAATTAATACTAATTTTTTTTTTTTTTTAATTACTCCTATTACCTCATTTTTTGCATTGTTTCTGGGAATGGAATGCTTTGCATGCGTCGGTACTTTAAAAAAAAAAAAAAAGAAACTACACGTGGGATGTGGGGGGTAATGCTTATCTTGTCAAAAAAAAAAAAAAAAGAAAAAGAAAAAAAAACGAGAAAAAAAAAAATCAGGGTGTGTGATTACAAACTGTATTACTGTGGTGCTGTTACCTTGGATACATTCCATAAAAAAAAAAAAAAAAAAAAAAAAAAAAAAAAAAAAAAAACAAACTTTTTTTTTTTTTGGTGGGA